ATCTCTACAATGAATGCAAAGACATTACTTCATCTATGTCGTTTGGCGAAAAAAAATATAAAATTCACGCAAGAAGCGTTTCTTTAAGCCTCGAGTGCAAGGAATTTATGAAAGATCCAAGAGTCGTGTACATTTCAAGAAATAAGACTTCACTTCCGTTTCATATTCAATAGTTTCCATAAAAGATAAATTGTTTGTGTAGGAAGCGGTTTCAAAACACTACTACGTTCTGCCCCAAGGCCATGCGAATGACTTGTTTTAACACGGATTGATTTCATTAACAAAATGTATTAATACACACACACACGGCAAACCGCATTGCAATTTGATTGAGATTCTTGCCGCAAGGTGACGCCCACTGCGCGGGCCTGTCGCTTGTCACCGTTGGTACCGCCCACTCCCCAACCCCCTGCCCCCACCCGCGCCGGCCGTTCGCGCCCGACCTCCGAAGCTTCAAAAGCCGGCGGCGTGCTTTCTTCTAAAACACGAGCGAAAAATTCAATGGGGGCCGAAGAAAAGGGGAGCAGGAGGGGGACGCGCAGAGAGGAAAGCGCTTAGCGCGGACACGCGGACCCGGTGAGAGAGAGAGAGAGAGAGAGAGAGAGAGCAGAGAGAGAGAGAGAGAGAGAGAAGAGAGAGAGGTGAGAGTGAGAGGGGGTCCGGGCAGGGCAAGGGTTGAGGACTTGCAGGAGATGAGGTTGACGTCGCGGGCTGGCGAGAGGGCGAGTCCCCATATCGCGGGTGGGCAAACCAGCATGGGGGGGGCCCCGCCGAGGGAGGGGATAGGGGCGGGGCAGGCCCCCGTCGCAGCGCCCAACCGCCCGCGCGCCGCAGCAGAGGCGGCGCGGCGCTTCTAGCCGGCGAAAGTCTAACGCCTCACGCTTCCTCCGGGATATGAGACTTGTATCCAAACGCGTTTAAGGGTCTCGTGTCTAATTCTGAACGCGCACCCACAGATGCTCGCTGTTCTATCCGCTCAGGTTTACAGCGTTCTCGAGTTCAGCGGAACAACACTCACATAAAAGAGATTAGCCAAACTGTTAACGTTTAGGCGAACAACTTTCAGTGTACAGTCAAATACAATTACAATACAAACGTATTCTCAAACAAATCAGGAGTTTGTCGGGTTTCGTTCGAGAGTTTTCGACCAGCAACGATCTGACCATCGATGTTCATGTTTACATGGACGAGCAAAATTGTATGGTAGCATAAACCTTTAAATGACCCTTAAAATTGAAAGCCTCTAATTAGTTTTCACCTTCGCGGATGACAGTTCCGCAGTGGCGCAGTGAATTCAGATGATCGAGTGTCTCCGAATGTGAAACTTTTATAGCAAAGATTTTTGCAGAGCAATCCCTAAAGTTTCATTTTAAAAGATTTCGTTGCAAAGGTTTCGTTTGAAAAACGTAAAATGGGTTAAGAGATGCAATGAATTTTAGACGTCCGTAATTATACATGTATCTCGTGTGAACTGTATTACGGTGCAACTAACGCTGAACAGATGCACAGCTTCCTACTGGTTCAACACCTACGTTTGCTCTTATTCCCACGAAGAAGGACATAGTGCGGTAAGCAATCACATGTTGCCTGCAATGTTTCGGGCAAACATTAATAGCCGCGACGAAAAATTAAGCTGTGAAGGGCTTGTTAACGCTGCGTCATGTGCTGCCGACACACACAAATCCCCTTTCTCATAAAAAAGTTGCATGTTTAATTTATGCATATTAATTAATATATCAAAATTAAGTGTTCTCATGAACTCGTTTCTTGTTCCATCATAAATTACCTAGCTAAATCACTGACACCTTACAAAGTCACTCAGACGTACTAAAGAAAATTTCAAAACTACAAAGTGATGATGACCAAAAACACTGTAAAATAAAGAATATCTAACCACATTATAAGAATTTCTAACATAAAGAATATCTAACCACTGGCAATTACTATTTCACATCCGTTTTGTTTTACCACGTGTTTTCTGTTTATTTTCAATAACGATCGTTTATATTTCGTTTTCATTAATCTTAATTAGCTATCCATTGAAACCACGATGAACAATATGCTGCTTTTAAAACTAAGTAGATTCGCGTAGTAATTATATGCGATGAGATTAAATGAAACTGCTATAAGCTATCTCCCTGAACTTTAATCCCAAATATGTTATTAACCGGTCTTGAACCTGAATTGATTTCACAGGCAGTGTTAATATACATAATGATCATGGTTTATTATTTTGTAATATATTTTGCGATGTATACTCATATCATTACGAAGCTGCCTCAGGGCTGTATTCAATTAGAGTTATTGGTAAACAAATGTATTTGCTCTCAAAATTACACAAAACATCTATTTGTTATGAAACGACATGAGAGAGCAATCAGCTTAAGTTTTCTATTTTCGCAATCAAGAGACCGATATTGATTAATATTTTTTCTACAAACAAATAAAAAGTGAACATGATCACCTCCTTAAATCTGTGATATTACTACATTAGAAATAGATAATGGACATAACAAATATATGAGTAATATTTGAAAGGCAATGGTTTAATAAACATAAATAAACTAGTGGTACTCCAACAGCACATATTTTCTCACATTTTTCTAACATTTGCATTGATGATAATTCAGAGAATTCAACGAAAATGAGTCCTGCACCATTTTTTAAGTACTCTTGGCTATCCGAGGAGAAATTTAATAACAAACATTGTAGCCGTTATTAAGATTTTAAAAAATGTCTCTTCTTGACGCAATAATTACGTGGAATCTACTAGTTTTCGTTTTTTAAATGTTACATTACTTTTTTAATATCTGATATTTTAGAACATATTTTATTAAGGGAAAAGTCGCTATCATCAATGATGTTATCTTGCCATGCATTTTTGTCGCATTTGATGAAAAATAGGATTTGAGTAAATTGTTTAAAAATTGCCGAACTTGACGCAATATTACAGAAAACCTTTTTCGGAAAATCGTACTTGACATTATTCAAAGAGGATGTCTGTGAAGAACAGATTGATTAAGGGACAAAGGCCTTATCTTCAATGCGACGGAAAATGCTGAATGTCTGCAACTTTCGAACATTTAGAGGTCCACAAAACTGAAATTTGGGCGGTTCTTCAGGCAGTTATTGCTCTCTCCGAGAAAAATGTTTAGTAACGACTTGGAGACATTTTTTGAAAATTTTGAGAATGTTGAGTACGCACAAGAAATAAACTATAACTCGCAAGGCTTCGAGTTCCGCTATCTATGGTGGAATATCTATTTAGGAAAAAGCAAACGGTTTTGACGCTAACGTTGACCAAAAACGGAGGAACAGATGTTATTTACTAAATTTAAAAAAAATGTATTTTCCTTTTTGATACCAGGGCCTCACAATACGAGTTTTTCAAGCGACAAATCGCCAATTTTTGACTCGACATTAAAATACTTTCTCTTTATTATGTAAACACGTCGTATGATGGTGAGAAAGTAAAAATGAATGTGTACATTTATTTAAAAATTTAAGTATACATTGAGGACGAAATGTTTTTCTGTCAAATTATTCTTGCCGATAGTACTCATTTAAAATGAGAAGTGTCAGATTTTTCAAGTCTTTACAATGCTAAGAACGGGTAAAGTGTAAATTCTGATACACATGCACTCTTTTAATTGGCGAGGTATATCTACCTTCACAAATTGCCCAAATATCGTATTTTCTCACAAAATACCACACAATATCTCATTTTCACCGTTTCGTATATATCAACTGTTTCGTTTTTATTTTGAATTAATATAAGAAAAATTTCACTGAAAGATAAACAAACGCGTTAAAAAATATAATTTGATAGCACATCTTTCGATCTGTAAATTTGTCCGCCTACAAGAGTGATTACGACCTGCGAGCTTCGCACCGCCACGCACAACCGCTCGCAGTCCGCCGCGCGATTTACAAGATTCATCCGCGGATTAATTAACACACTAATCAGGTGGCGGGGAGGCTTCCGGGCACGGATTGAGTGGGGGACGGGCAAGGACGAAATGGTTCAGGACGGGAAAGGAAAAGCAAGGGAAAGACGGCAGCCAGAAAAGGAGACAAGTCGGCAATGCAGAGGGGAAGCGTGGAGAACGATGTCTAAGCGGCAGGTGTTCGCTAGGACGAGAGCAGCTGAATGGTTTGTAATGAAGGATATGATTCGTCAATTCTGGACACGGGCGGTGTCGTTCTTGGTAGGGTAGGGCGAAACGAAGACGGAACAGTAGAATAGAAAGCTAGCGAATGTGAATGTTGTGTGTACGAGTCGCCGTCTTGTGCAGGGGAGCAAATTTAAGCGAGACAAGGAATATAGTAGCGAATAAAATGGAAAGATCGGTGGAGCGGGGGTTAGAGATTGGAAAATAGCGAAGCGGGAAAGAGTGATGAAGAAGTGCGGAGCAGGAAATCGTAGAGAGGGCAAGAGCAAAGCGAGAAAAGGCAGGAAGGGACGGAAGCGAGGATGTAGTGCAAGAGAGTGCTCAAAGAGCCATGAGATTCATTTTGTCATTTGTTCCTTCATACATGTGTCGGATGCAACCCGCAACACTGGTATTGCTAAGAACGTGTTTCACTCAACCAAGAAGCGTCGGTTATTGATAAAAAAACAAACACACGCCATAAAAAGTCTTTCCCACTTATCGAGAAAAGAAACCGACACAATGACAGGAGCAGAGGTATATTATCACTAAAAATGTCCCTCCGACATAATACTCGAAAATATGTTTTCGAGTAAAGATTTTTTTCATTAATATTGGGTTTTTAATGTATTAATTGTTTAATTATAGTTATTTATAAGTGTTCATACGTGACAATGAATGTCTTACGTATTCGTAAAATTTGAATGCGCGTCATCGGCTTCGGGAGGGACGAGGGCCTTCATGCCTCAAGGCCCTTTGGTGGTCCACTGCAGACATGTGCTTACTATAGCTGCAAGCTTCATTTCTAGAGCAAAGCACAGAGCTTCGCGTACAGACGCGATAACTCACCTGACGACGGTTCGCAGCAGGGTGGAGCGCGCTTCGTTGTGGTAGGTGATAATGACGGAGGTGGGAGGCAGGTCCTTCCTCCAGGCTCGTTTGCGGCACCTTTCAACATAGGAGAAGTTTCAATAAGTATATTATATTCGTCATTCCGGGCGATATCTATCTCTATATCACATTATGCTTCGACATTTTCGTTGCATTGGTATCGCTGATTTCAATTAGTAAACATCAGCATCAGGGACGATGGTACGGGTTTTAATGTTTTTCGAGAAGTACAAATAAATAGAATACTTTGGGTATTTTCAAAAACTGTGAGTGATCTACACGATGAAAGAGATAGCCGACTAGAGATTCGACGTCCTTTCGGATTCTCACTCTTTCTCAAAGTGAAAAAAATACTTATAACAAAATTAAAAATAAAAAGTGCCGAATATTTTTTTGGAAAGCTATATTAAAATGAAAGGCTCTATTTACAAGGACAATTAGAATTTTACATATACTAATAACTACGTCCGAATTATGCCATAAACTCATCCACAGGAGAGCAATTAGCAAGACTCCTCCCCCTCACTCAGGTCAGCCCCAAGATCAACGGGAAGGGCCACCAGAGTTGACTTCACTTCTCAGCGGCAAGAAATTGGACACCAGTAATGCAGTCACCCCAACTCAGTATAACAGCCAGGACAACGTCTACACAGTCTTCAGTCAACAGAACTTGCTCTTCGGGCCACTAGCGCCCCCCCCCCATAAAAAAAGGTCAGTCAGCCCCAGTGACACTGAATGCGAAACCGAAAACAACAAAATGAATCATTCAAGTGAAGACGCGAGAGTAAAATCAAAAACCTTCGCCAAGCACGAACTTAATATATCCGTGTACGACAAGAGAAAACTCTCATATTTCAAGGAAACGTACAACGACCAAATAAATCCAGTCAATAGAATTCCACCCATTTGGATAGCCAATATCCATAATGCCAGACACTTCAGAAACGAACTTAAATCTAAGTTTGTAAACCAAAAATGTCAGTTCTGATGCGAAATAAAATAAAATAAAATACACTCAAGCTCCAAAACAGACGTTAGAATCTTGTAACAATACTTGATACAACCACAAAAAATGTTCACACGTATAAGAATTCCGCTATAATAAATACTCAGTGATTTTTAAAAATCTCCTTCCAACTATATCTGAAGCCGATCTAAGGGAAGACAAAATCACGACACATTTCAAAAATAAAAGTCACAAGGTAAAACAAGGACCATAAATCAAATGCAGGGGCAGCGACGGATTTTTGTGGCGCAGAACCAATCTAATCAATATTTTAAAAAAATACAGTTTGCAATCAGAGTCATTACTAAAGAAAGAAATCTCCAATGCCCAATCCTTCACTTAATTCCTTTCCGACTTCTCCAGTCTAAGGAATTTTAATACAATCAATAATGTGACTCAAATCTTAAACAGCCCAAATCAAAAGTAACCATATAACCCACAATCACCTCCAACTCACTAATAATCCCAACAATTCACTTTTAAATGCAATTAATCAATTTCAACCCGCATTGTAAATTTCATAAATTTGCCAATCCATACCACAATAAATCCAATTGAAAACTTAATCTCAGCGTACCTTAACAGCAGCAGTAACAACAACAACATTAATAATAGTAACAACAACGCCGGCCCCACTGCGTCCGCAACCGCCTGCACCGAGGAGGCTGCAGGTTCGAGTCCTGCATAGGGATGGTCGTATTTGTGATTGTCCCTTCTCACCCCATCACCATCCTATCACCTCATTATTCATAACCCAAGGCGTAACAACCTTGTGTAATCAAGGGATTCAGCCGTAAATAGTGGATCCCCATGGTTGCACACATTAACCTCTCCGGGGCCTCGGAAGATCAGGTGTATACATGGTCATAAATGACCGATTCCCAAATATTCTTCTTCTTCTTCTTCTTCTTCTTCTTATTATTATTATTATTATTATTATTATTATTATTATTATTATTATTATTATTATTATATTACAATACAGTACAAGACGAAAAGCAGCATTGAAAAGTGCACTGATCACGTTCACCGCACTTCACTTCATTTCACTTCACTTCACTACACTACATTTTTTTTGCTTTGAATTACCTTTGAATTACACATTGACCAGCACTTCACAGCACCTCACCGCACTACACAGCACATACTTATTTAATATCTTGTTGTAATTTGTTTCTAAATCTTCGGACACTGAGAGGAAAAGCTTTGAAAACTGGTGCAGGTAAACTGTTTGAGAACAAAGGCGGCGGATGCTACAGAAGTTAAAACAAATCTACTACCCCCGAACCCAAACTATAACAACTTGCAACATATTGAATAACAGCATAAGAAACATAACTGTATTTAATTGCCCAATATCCAAAATAAAGAATATCAATTTTAAGAATTTCATTCAAACTTCGAACAACACATTAATTGTCGAATTCATCACTAAAAGTATCAATTAGTGCTACCGGTGCAACAATTACAATGGACTTATATATTCAAAAAACCCTGTCGTATTAAAACAAATATTAAAACTCTTAATAAAAAGCACATATTCTGAGTTACGTTGAGAATTTTCTGCTGCAAAAAAAAAAAAAGGAAAACAAACGGTGATAACAAGGAGGGGTAGACCACCTAAACGGAGCTCCCATTCCCCCGTTATCCCTTACCCTTCATTGCAGAAACCAAATTTCACAATAGGTATCTTTATCGCCGTAAATCATGCCTTCTACACATGGCATCGATTTGTGTATATCACAATCCTTTTTATTCAGTAAAGGACAATATTTGGTTTAGAATTGCTAACGTACAGTTTCTGATAGGAAAAAAATATTATTATTTGAAACATTTAACCAATTTCACACTGTTCTTTTTTCTAGTCACTGAAGATTATTTTTTAAGAACTCTATGACAGAAGGAAAAAAATATTTTATTTATTTGAAGTCAAAGAATTACAGTTAAAACTAGGTATGTCGTATGGGTAGAAATGCAATTTTACACGTTGACTTAGTAATCTTCTGAAGAACGTCAAAAAATAAATATTTGTAATTCTTGTGAATTGTAGTATTATTACATTATTAATATACATTCAAATTATTACAACACTATAGCTGTTTCAAAATATACCCCTTCAATAGAAAAAAAATCGATATTCAATAGAGTTTATGAATCGAAGTTCAATTCATTTTTAGTGAAAGTTTATTAAGTTGGTTAAAATAATCCTGAGAGTACAATAACAAACAATTTTACTCAATTTTCACATCATTCCTCAGACGTGTAAAATACCAGCAAACTTCGGCGTCCCACCACACCCCGGACTCATTTTTTTCATAACAATGCACGGCGTTCTTTCTCCTCCCATCAAAAAAACATTTATTCCTTTTTCTAGCCGGCTCGCTTAATTAAATCCCGAAATGAATTTCTTCGGTGGACTTTGGCAAAATGCGGGGGGTCGGAAGTCCAACAAAATGCCGAAATCCGGAGGGGAGACTCGCTGGGGCTACGAGCGATTTGCCGTCTCCTGGCCGACGCGATGCCTCCGCTCACCCCCCCCTCCCACCCACACAGAACGACTTTGATCCCTCTTTCCCGAAGCGCACCCTCGTCGCCGGCCGATCTGGACGTGACAGCCGAAGCGGAGCGATATATTTGTTACACGTTCGGTGACAAAAGTTAATTAAAATCGTGTTTCCTTTATTACGCTGTCTAATGGGGAAAAGCATTCTATAGCGCCGCAGATTCTCCGAATGGAACACGCGGGGCGGAAATATCGTTCGCGTCGGATCTCTTGTAATATATGTCTGCGAGAGACGGATGGGGGGTGGGGCTGAAAAAATAAAAAGAACGGGAGCGGGCCGACAAAAGAGAGGCAGAGAAAAGGCCTAGCGGAGGAAATTTTTAAACTTTTTTTTGGCGGCGAATTGCCTCTGCCGAGAGAGAAACCCGCGCTTCCCCATGTTCGACACACGCGTGGTGGGCTCTATAGAAGACCTGCGCGCGGCCGCCACGGACGCTCGTGGAGGGCCTTTAGTACGTCTTTGTGGAAGTCGGCAGATTTATCTCGAACCTCTACAAAGCGCGGGAATGTCTATAATTCCTGTGGTGCCATTTCTTCATTTTATCCCGTAGAACGAGGTGGGTGAAGAGGGAACTGTTCGTTTCCTGATTCACCTACAATGTGGAATGAGATCTCGCGGTGAATTCAGTCAGCACTCAATTTTCTTATTCAGATTATCACGTGGACATCGTTTGCATTCCTGTCTATCTATATTACTAAAATCCGATGTAAGCGTAAATTCAAAGAGTGCTACGCACCCTCGGACCATGTCGGAGACGAAAATCCAAATATTTGATTCTATTATACTGCATTTTCCCATTAGAAATGTACCGACGGCACCCTTACTCGGGTGCCACTAACTACGACAGAGGTGACGTCACGCGACAACAAGGGTCCACGAAAGACACTTTCCACAATTAAATATTTGCTATTCACGTGATGCGTTAAGGCAACATTTTTGATTTTCTTGGTAGTACGTAATAGAATGTATGTACTGTGTATCAATATATACTGTACACTATGTATTTGCATTGTATACTATGTTATAGCAATAATTGTGAAAACTGGAAAGTATTTAATTTACAGTAGTGTTATATGAAGCATTTTTGCTGCTACAGGCTAGTAAGTAACTTACTCGAAGGTCGAATTAAGTAACTATATTGAAAATGAAAAACCTCCTACAATTAAATGGTCTTATTTTTTCCCGCTCATTTAAAAATTCTGAAATAATTTAAGTTATGTATCCGACAGAATATGAAAAAAAAAGTGTTCGCATTACAGAACCATGATATAAAAACAAATGCGTTTTCTTCATTCGATTATAATGACGTTTTATCCAGATGTTGCATATGCTTTTAAAATATGTTTTCTCTTCGAATTAACAAAGGTGTACGGTTAATGCTTTCTATAACGATTTTATTAATCGCTCAAGCACAGACCTTTTCGAGTAGCAATATGTCATTCTAAGGTTGATATTAACTAAATCACAAAGCGTTGTCAAAGAGAATTATTATAAAATGATAAGTATAATTATATTTGGAAATCAGGCCCATTATTCCAGTACTCAAGTTCAAAGTACAATGTTGCAGTTCCAATATACTGCTATTCGTGTCGGTCTGTTTTAATACAAATGTAATCATAAAAGCAAAATAATAATTCCAAAAAGGGGAAATGCACGTACGTCCGAAAATTATAAAATGAAGTGCTTGTCTTTATATCTTCTCGGTTATTTCTGTGAATTCAATGAATTGAAGCGTACCAGAGACAGTGAAGAACAAGTGAGTATAACAAACATGTTTAAATATAAAAATATTCGTTAACAGTATTTTCAACACATTCAGTTAATTTTCACAGCAAGACATTGCTGACTGCAATGCAAGATTTGCAGATAAATGAGCATTTCTCAACCACGTTGCTCCTTCCACCAAAGAGCGATATCATACATCTGACGAAATTCTTAATAATACTTCACTTTCGTTTTGGAGTGCACCCTAATTTACGAAGCACGCGCATTCATTCGCACTCCCCCGAAGACTCATAGCCAAACGCTCGCCCCACCACGCACGTCCGCTTTTATGTCGCTTCGGTGGCAGCGTAGCTGTAAGCGACGGGGCCGGGCCTGCGGCTTGGCGGCGGGTGCCTCTAGGTGGAAGGTCAGGGGTTGACGGCAGCCGTCGCGTCGCCGCCGCTCCGCTCCCGCTCCCGCTCCCGCTCCCGCTCCCGCTCCCGCTCCGCTCCCGCCGCCGCCGCTGCCGCTTCGCCGCGCCCTACATCGTCGGAGTCGCGTGTTCCGGTCGCATTTGGGGTCAGCCGGGGCGAATACCGCCCCAGCCGTCCCCGTATTATGCTAACCGCGAGCGCAGCCCTCGCGTGCCCGCCGGCCGCTGCCCGCCTGCCGGCTACACCAAGCGCGCGCGCGCGCGCTCGCGCCCACCGCCGCGCCGGCAGAATGCACTCGTCCGCGGCGCCGACTTCACGTCCCCGCCAATCACGACGTCTCGGGAACCCCCGCGCCCACCACCACCACCGAGTCACCTCGACCAGCCTCCCTCGACGACTATCTCGTGCCTATCGCTATCGATTCTTTTCTCGCCACTGACGTCAACGAGAGTTCTGCACCCCGCTCTTCCACGAGTTGCTGTTTCCACGTTGCGCCCTTCCGTCTTATGCAACTTCCTGCTCCCCATCAAAGGCGCCCCGCCGCCATTAACGTTTCAGGCGCCCACAACCTCTGGCCCCTCGGCCAAACGAACGTCCCTGCCGATGCCTATTCTTCTGTGAAGCGCCGACTTCAACGATCCTTCAAAACTACTGCTTCCCTTGTTGAAACACTTCCGATACTCCTGATATGCTTCCTTTTCTTCATTGACGTCCCCTTTATTATTCGTTCCTGGCGTTCCTGGCTAATTATTCCTGGCTAATTATGGCGTCCCTGTTATAACATCTCATTTTCTCCTAGTTCTGATCCATCTATATGTACCGCATTTTAAATACGATAGTATTATTGATACGATATCATACCATTTCACTTTCACTGTTTTATGCTACTTCCCTGAACGATTGGTCAATGTAAATAGAGCTTCATTTTATAGAGATTTGCTATAAGATTCAGGACTTTGCCATAGCTCTTCGTAGATCTCATTAGTGAAAAGAATTTCAGGAAATAGATCACGATTAAAAAATACTCCTGTAAACTCAATGCAGGAAGCATGAAAAACCCCAGTTTTAAACACTGGTATTCAATGATATAACGCAAAGCCAGAAACAAACACAACACAAGCGATCTACAGATTATTTTTCTACATCTTTCCTGTACCTTCCTATTCGGTCCTTGTTCCAGTCGGATTCTTCGTTCCAAGCTATTTCGACCAACCCATCGTTCATATATTCATTAATAGTGTTTTAGTATCCACTTTTGTGTACTTTTCATTAGTATCATCTCACTGACAGCCCTCTTTGCCCACATTTTAATCTCGTTTCATGTTCTATTGTGCCTCTCAACCCCTTAGGAACCCTCCCATTCCCACCCCTTCACCGTCGTGACGCTTCGCTGGTTCACTTATCAAATATTCGCAAAGTCGTTCACTAACGTCGTTACCACAATTTCCTGTATGCGATAGGGAGAGAGGAAGACAAAAATTAAATTTATGGGGCTATGTCCACTACCCCATTTCCCTTCATCACTAGCTTCCGCTGTCAGCATTTTCTTTGGTCTGTCATCCGTCTTCTGTCTGCACGCTCTTTCTACAAAACTCCAACTATTACGCTCCCAGTGTATACTATTTCTTTTTACTGCATTTATTTATGTATTTCTTTATTTTCCCCCAAAACAGTTAAATCTATGTGAGACGTGCTATGGGGAAGAAGTTAATTTATGTCCAGAAGCAAAACGAGGGGCCATCCCAGCATTTGTTCGAAGATCAGGGAAACTGGATGAGAACCTGATGGCGATGGCGAATCATTGACACAGTAGCTCAGGTACAATACCTGTAAAAGGTTTATTAGAATTATACAATCCAAATG